TTCATTCACTACGGCGCCACGGTGAAGCTCGTCTGCTCGGTGACGGGCATGGCGCTGCCTAGACTGGTGAGTTACCACTTGACTGTTTTTCTATTTTACAAAATCATTGATAGATTTTTGGAGGATTTTAGCCTCACTGTATTAGTTAGAGGCATTGTTTGACAGTGTTTGCTGGGCTCTCTAGCTGTTTGCCATGTTTTCAAGTGATCTGAAGAAAAAGAAGGCGGTGAAGGCAGTGATTGAATTTGAATTTGAATGTAATCGATGCCTGCTGAGAGTGGTTCATTGTGTTTTTGTAGTTGTTGAGGTTGTGTCTGTGGTTGTGGGGATACCTTAATGGTCATTTGTGTGGTGGTGGTGGTGGTCATTGGCGCCCATTGGCCATTCAGCTCATTTTTGCCAACCTCAAGTTGATTCTCTTGATTTCTTCTTTGCTGCTTGCGTGCCGGATAGCATAGCGCTTTGCTGTTGGCGCATTATAGAGTGAGCTGCTCAAACAGACAGACAGACAAACACACGGACACAGCACAAATGAGCACAGCTCGTGCACTCGTCGTGTGTAATTTGACAATTGTCAATTGTGTGATGGGCGCTTAATTGGTGTGCTCAGGCAGTTTGCTTTGCAGCTGCTGAGGAGATGCGGTCGCTCGCCTGCAAAGGAGACCTCAAAGCACTTTTTGGCCTAATCAGATACGGCGAGAGGAGCTGCACCTCACAGTCACACACAGAGAAAAATTTTCCGAAATCTTCAGACGATTTGAGACTTTTTGGCATTTTCTCATATGCATTTAAGAAAACAAGGCAAAATCTCAAATCGGCTGAAGATTTCGGAAAATTTTTCTCTGTGTGCAGGCAGACAGTCAGTTTGTGATGAGTTTATGATGAAGGCAGCAGCAGCAGCAGCAGCAGCAGCACTGATGCTACTTAATTGCCGGTCTTTGATCTTCTTCATCATCTTCTTCTTCTTCGCCTTCTCCTCTTTGCTGTTCCTCCCAAGTGCGAATTAGTGCCCGCCAAGTGTTTGCCCAGCCTGGTGCTTTTCATTATTCTCCTCGATGCTCTCCAACTTCTGAGAGATGCTCAGGAGCGGGAGCGACTATAGGTTGCCTGAGCTGAGCTGAACTGAATCTCTGACTCTACCAGGCACTACACTTTACTCTTCACTCTGCACACTCTCAGTTGAAAAGACTTGTACACACATCTTCTTTATAGCATCTTTGCTAGCTCCTTTGTGTGCCGCATCAGTGTCTGTTTGTGTGTGTGTGTTTGTGCTCTTATTTGAGTGCAGTCAGTGAGAGATAAATAAAGGCGCCTTGTTTGTCTTTTTGTTGAGCAGAAGTGCCAGTCGTTGCGTTTTGGCCATTGATTGAATGTGCCTCTAGTGTATTTTCTGGTGTGTTTTGGTTGTGTTTTGCATTTAGTGTAAAGTGCCGGTTTTTTTGTATTCACCAAAGTTTTACATTCTTTTTGAGGAATATTTGAATTGACAACTTGAGAGTTTCACTCTGTGCCACAGAAGGAAAACTAAGCTAGGCTGTTAGTAGCTGTTGTCAATTAAAAGAAGTTCACTCCTTGAGGAGTAAATCGTATTGCCGACAGGCATGTAATTGACTCTAACTTGCTCTCATGTCAGCTTCTTCTTCTTCTTCTGTTTTACTACTGTACAGGTTAGGTTTGTCTTTTAGGTGTTTTTGCCGCTGTTGTAGAATAGTTGTCAGCGGCTTAGCACTTTGCTTAGCAGCAGCAGCAGCAGCAGTAGCAAAACTCATCGTTAACCTGTCGTCGAATGTGAGCTGTAAAGTTTTAAAGTTTACCTTTCCGTTCCTCCTCGATGCGCACCTTTCTTTTCAGTGCTGCTTTTAGGAAAAGGGGAAGAGGAGAAGAGAGGAGACAAAATCGGGCAGTCCTTTGAAATGTTAGTCTCATCTCGCTCGGTAAGTTAGTCAGACTGTCGTCGTTGTGGTCGTTGTTGTCGTTGGCCCTAGCCAAAGAGCTCTGTGCGCTTCCTTTGCCCTTTGTGCTCCTTCTCCTTCATCATCATCTTCTTCTTGGCCGAGAATGGCGGTGGTGAGAAATCCGAGTGACATTTTCTCATGAACTTTCTCACGAGTTATCTTTGAGTTGCCCGTAATTGGAATTATAATCGTAATTGTGAATTGTACTCGAGTGAGTGTGCTATCTGCAGTGGCAGCAGCAGCAGCAGCAGCAGCACCAACAATAATCGCCATCCTCGGCCATCCTAGCTGCTTGCAGGCAATCATAATCGACATTACCATCAACAACGACAGTTGGACTGAAGCAGTTACTGCTGCTGTTGCTGTTTGTGGCCTTTCTGTTGTTCCATCTTCTTCTTCTTCCACTTCTTCTGGTGCTCTTCTGACTCTTCAGTGCCCAGTGGTGGTGGTGGTGGTAATTGCACTGGTTGTTTCTGTTATTGTTGTTGCTGCTGCTGCCGAAACGAGACAATTTCGGTTGAATAGAATTTGAACGAAAATTGATTAAATGTCAATAGAACAATAGCTGCTGATGCATCATCAGTAGCAGCATGCTTCAATCGGCACCGACCTCTTTGGATGGTGATGATGATGATGATGAAGAAGACGAGATGTCATTGACTTTGAAACAAGCGAAAGAGAGATCATCAGCTTTTTTCACTCTTTTCACCATTTTTTATTCCTTTATTCTAATTCCTGATTTCTTTTCCTCTTCCTCCTCCTTCCACAGATCATCCGCAAGGTGGACAAGCAGACGGCGATGCTGGACGCCGACGACCCGGTGTCACAGCTGCACAAGTGCGCCTTCTACATGAAGGACACCGAGCGGATGTACCTCTGCCTCTCGCAGGAGCGCATCATCCAGTTTCAGGCGACGCCCTGCCCGAAGGACCCCAGCAAGGAGATGATCAACGACGGCGCCAGCTGGACCATCATCAGCACCGACAAGGCGGAGTACACCTTCTACGAGGGCATGGGCAGTCTGCACAGGCCGGTGACGCCGGTGCCCATCGTCCACTCGCTGAATGTGAACGGCGGCGGCGAGGTGGCCATGCTCGAGCTGACGGGCGAAAATCTCAGCCCCTCGCTGAAGGTCTGGTTCGGCGACGTCGAGGCGGAGACGATGTATCGGTGAGTGTGGTTTGTTTTAGTGATTTTGTGGTTTTTATTAATGAAATTCTGTGCTTTTGCAGGTGTCAGGAGAGCATGCTCTGCGTCGTGCCGGACATTGCGCAGTTTCGCGAGGGCTGGCTCTGGGTGCGCCAGCCGACGCAGGTGCAGGTGTCGCTGGTGCGCGATGACGGCATCATCTACGCCACCGGCCTCAGCTTCACCTACACGCCGGAGCCGGGCCCCCGCCAGATCAACCCCGCCTTTGAGCGCATACTCCGCCCCAACTCTTCGACCTCGTCATCAGCAGTGTCCTCGGCGGCGGCCGCTGCCGCTGCAGCAGCCGCCGCCGCCGCCGCAGCGGCGGCAGTTTCTCACTGGCCGACTGGGCTGTAGAATAGAAGAAGATCAGCTTGTGAGAAGAATGAAACTGTTTGAACAGAGAGAGAGAGAGCTCCCCGTCTTCAATTTTTTTGCTTTTAAATTCTAAAATGATCATCTTATGCTGAAAGTAGCTGCAGAAGATTTGCGAGTGCATTTTCTTAAAATTCCAATCATTCGAGCTTGATCTTGATCTTGACCCCCTTTTACCTCTTCTTCTTTCTTGCCCTTTTCCTCCTCCACCATCACTCGCCCGTGTTCATCTTCATGACAACCTTTCACTCTCCCCCTTTTGCCTCTAAACTTTGGTTGTGGTTCATCAAATCTTCGTTTCTCTCACTCTCTCACATTCATTCTTTCTATCTTCTCTGTCCGCCTAGTGTCTGCATTTGCTGCATTTGTAGTGATCAATTCGCCTCTCTGTGTATATATACTTTTCTCAACATCCCCGAGCACCATCCAGTCCTCCTCAAGTCCGCCAGTTGCAATAATAGCTAGCTAAGCCTGCAAACCAACCAACCAATCAGCCTAACACTCCAATCAGATGTTAGTTGTTAACCTGAAAGCCTGCAAACCAGTGGTGCTCTCTTTCTCTCACTTTGTACATAGAAATCGCGCTCTCACTTCACTCACTTCAATATTTCACTATTTCTATACATAGTTCTCTTTCAATCCTCCTGTACATTTTCTTCACCTGCACCTATCTTCACTTTGTATAGCTAACTTTTGACCAACCAGTACCCAGGCACCAATGGAGATGGTCACCATCACCAATTGACCATCTCCATTAGAAACACCCCTGCTCTAATATATATATTTTCCTATCTATTTTTACTAACTATTTACACTTTGTAACACTTCTTCTCACACCCCAACTCTCTCTCCCTCTCTCTCCCTCTCTCTTTCTTTTACTGGACCAGTTTTCAATTATAATATTTTCAGTAGCAGTAGAAGTAGTGCACATGAGCTGTAGAATCTACTATACTTGTACACACTCCTTTTGACCAAATGAACACACACCCACACCTACACACTGCTACTATTTAACGGTGATATATTTTATTATCTGATTTACCATATACTACACTGACAAACTATTATTTTGTTCAATCAACAAGACAAAAAATATATTTAATAAAACGCAGATTTTATTTACTTTCGCGTTTATTTGACTTTTGGGCAAGTGATTGGTTTAGTGATTGGCAAATTAATGATTCAGTACTCCAAACTTCAATACTACAACATTAGTTCCTCTTCCTCCTCCTCCTCCTCCTCGACTGTATCTCTCTTACACTGAATACCTTGGAATTGCCTGACAGTGAACACACACATTTCGCTGAATGATGACATGATGAGTGGTAGTGGTGATGATCGTGGTGGTGAGGGTGAGGGCGCTGCTCTCTGATGACCGATGAGAATGAGGGTGATGTGTACAGCAGAGAGTGAGTGTACAGCAGTGCCCAGGCAGCCTCAGTCGACTGGCAGACACCGAGCAGAGCAGACGTCTGTTGTTGTNTGATGAGTGGTAGTGGTGATGAGGGTGAGGGCGCTGCTCTCTGATGACCGATGAGAATGAGGGTGATGTGTACAGCAGAGAGTGAGTGTACAGCAGTGCCCAGACAGCCTCAGTCGACTGGCAGACACCGAGCAGAGCAGACGTCTGTTGTTGTCTGCTGTTTTGGCTGCTGCTCTGCTCGGTGTCTCCCGGTCGACTGTGGCACCCTGGCCTGGCCTGCCCTCCTTCAAGATCAACTCTCTTTGGGAATGGATGGCATCCACTTCCCCCGTCTCTTGGATCCTCATCCTCGTCCTGGCCCTTTTCTCCCAAAGTCCCTTCGGCGACTTCTTCTTCTTCAGATAAGTATTTTTGTTGTGTTTTCAGATCTCGATACTTTGTGTAACCTGTGCTTTTGTTTTCCTTTGCAGACTTCTCCCTTTCTTTCTGGGGCATTCTCAGCCCTGTGCTGATCATCACCTCCACCACCACCACCACCGCTATCATCATCATCATCATCTCTGCCGGCCGACTCTGAGGCANTTCTGGGGCATTCTCAGCCCTGTGCTGATCATCACCTCCACCACCACCACCACCGCTATCATCATCATCATCATCTCTGCCGGCCGACTCTGAGGCACCTGCTGGTGGCGGAGGACTTGGACAGACTTTGATGAGGACGACCTCAAGGATGGGCGACAACAATCCAAGTCGAGGATGGCGACACCGACGAGGCAGCAGCAGCAGCATCAACGGACTTCGAGGATGGCACCGATGATGAACTACAGCGCAAGTCGAGGATGGCAACACCAAAGCTTCATCATCATCATCAACAGCGTCAGTTTTCGGCTGACAAAGCCTTAGTTTCTTTTGTAAACCTTTGTATTATTTGAATGATTGAGAATGAATAAAGACATGTTTGAAATACGAGTTTGAATTGTGTTTTTATTGGTTTATTAAATAATACAAAAAAGGAAAAAGGAAAAAAAGAGGCAGCAACCCATGGCCTTCCCTGTCCCTCTACTTACCCATCCGCTTC